GCCCTCTGTCGAGGAACACATGACTGTGTGCTGAATGCGTCTTCTCACAGAGAATAAGAAGTGCTGACGGGGGGGGTGGAAATTGAGAACTATTTTTAAGAGCTTTCTTTGGTCATTCTTCCAGCCTGCCTTGTGAGTGAGGAGTCCCTGGAACACAAGGTCATACCTTGTCATACCTTGGGGAGGGGATCGACCAAGTCTCTCACAACCTCTCCAGCACTGGGAGGCTGAAGCTCATTCCGAATGTCATGTGGCCCAGATCCAGGGCAGCCCAGAATGCTCAGATGTGCGAGGTGGCCCCTAAAATAATTCTTCTTTTTCCTCCTCCTCTTCCTCCTTGTTTTTTGAGATAAAGTTTCTCTGTGTGGCCCTGGCTGTCCTGGATCTCAGAGTCCTCCTGCCTCTGCCTCCCAGGCGCTGGGATTAAAGGCGTGCACCACCACTGCCCGGCCTAAAATCCGTTCTTAAACGACTGAGTGGTTGCTCACTGGGCCCCTGGGCCCCTGACTTCACGTCTGCCTCCTAACGTAAGGCCAGCGGTGCGGCGCAGCTCACAGCGATGAGACGCTGGCCCTCGGCTGCACAGGGCCGACTTACAGGTCTAATTCTCTGCTCTGGGTCTGGCTGTGAAGGGCTCTTGGCCCCGCTGTCCAGCCTGTCTCAGCCCGGCCTCAGGCAGCAGTTCACCTCATCACCTCACGGGGGAGCCCCAAGGTTTCCAGATAGGAAACTGCCGGAGGCCGGAGGACGCGACCAGGCCAGCCTTTCCCTGTCCCCAGCGGTCGCTGCTCCCTTGGAGGACGGGCCTTGGAAAAGGCGTGGGCACCACCTCCTCTGCCCACTGGCCCTGAGGGCACCTGCTCTAAGCACCTCGTTTCCAGGGACGGATGTTGTACATGTAAATTTCTGACATGGGTGACAGCTGGCCTCAAGTTGACCCTCTCACCTCCTCCAGCCTCAGTCTCCTCACCTGAAAGGAATGGTTGAAAATTAAAACTACAGGTGCCAATCAGGGGAAAGAAAGGAGGAACAGGGGCTTTGGGAGGAGGGACAGGGACAGTGGGATTTCAAGTAAAGTGCGAGGATACGACCAAAACTCCACACCCATTATTTTGAGTGGATGTAAAGTTGCACACTTGTAGTCTTGCACTCGGGAGGTGGAAACAGGAGGATCGGAAGTTCAAGGGCATCCTCAGCTTCATAGTGAGTTCCAGGACAGCCTGACCTGATATCTTAATTTGCCGTGACAAACCATGACAGTCTGTGGCCTTAGAAGGCAGCGAGTTATTCCTGATGGTTTTGGAGCCTGGAAGTCCAAGCTCTAAGTGTCGGCAGGTTTGCTCTGAAGATTCAGTCCGTGGGTGGCAGACAGCCACGGCCCTCCTGTGTCCTCTGCGCATGCGCCTCCGGGCTGGCCTCAGACTGTGTAGCCAAGGGTGACACTGAAGCCTGCGTCCTCCACCTCTGAGTGCCGGGATTACAGGCGTGCCCCACCACAGCTGCTTCACAGTGCAGGAGAGCAACCCAGAGCAAGCGAGGCACTTACCTAGCCACACCCCAAGTCCTGGGTTTTCAGGCGGAGACCCTCACGCATGAGTGAAGGCTCAGGGAGGCCTGGGCGAGAGGGCGGGCTGCGCAGGGGCCTCTGGGACACCATGCCTGGGCTCCATCCCCGGCCTGGCAACCCGCAAAACCCCGGGAAGCAGGCAGCTCCACTCCGCTCCCTGACAGGAGCAGTGTCCTCTGCGCTGCCTGGTCTCTCTCCTGGAGCATCCCCCTGGCGAAAGCCTAGCTTCTTAGGGTGACATTGCTCCTTCCTCGTGTGTCTCCAACTCTTCAATCACCCTCACGACCTGCCTGGCCAGCAGCTGTTTACGAGTCAGTGCTAAAACTTACACCAACCTGGCCTGAGTTATTTTGGGGTTGTTGCTGCTGTTTTGAGACAAGACCTCTCTGTAGCCCAGGCTGGCTCCCCATTCACAGCAATCCTCTGGCCTCAGCCTCCCAAACGCTGGATCCGAGGTATGAGCCGCTGTCACCCAAGGCACACCGATGAGAGGGCAATGCCTAATGGTGGTGAATTATTGTTTCCGGCTGTGGTGGTTTGGATGCGAATGGCCCCAGAGCACATAGGTTTGAAGACTTGGGCCTACTTGGTGGGACTGCTTAGAAAGAATTAGGTGTGGCCTTGTTGGAGGGGGGTGTTACCAGGGGTTGGGGGGGGGCTTTGAGGTTTTAAAAACTATCCCCAAGGTTCCTCTCTGCCTCCTACTTTTGGATCAAGACGGGAGTTCCCATGTTCCTGCCTTCCCGCCTTCACTCTGTTATCATGGACTCTCCCCTCCAAAACCATAAGCTCAATTAAGTCCTTTCTTTTATAAGCTTGGAGTTTTATCACAGCAGTAGAAGGTAACTAGGTAAGGGGCAGAGCGGGAAACGCAGCCCCACAGCAGTGGTTAGCTGGCATGTGGCATGTGCCACTGATCCTGAGGAAAGAACGTAAGAGCTTCGAGGTTCTAGCTTGGGAGGCTGCGGTGAGAATGTCAGTGTTCCAGGGAGGCCTGGGCAGCACGGCAAGACCCATCTCGAAAGCAAGACAAGTGTTAAGTGACAGCTGGTGAGTTATTTTGGAGTGAAAGAGCACTTTTGCTTCAATTTGCAATGTTCTTCCACCTCGAAATGCTGTTGCTTAGAAACGCTTTAGTCAGGGGCTGGAGGGATGGCTCAGTTAAGAGCACTGGTCCCTCCAGAGGCCCTGGAGCTGATTCCCAGCACCCACTCGGTGGCTCACCACCATCTGTAACTCCAGTCTCAGGGGATCTGGGCTCCACTGTCCTCTTGTGGCCTCTGTGAGAACTGCATGCATGTGGTGGCACACACACAGGCAGACAGGTACAGACTATAATAAAAATAGCCCTTTAAAGAAATAATTTAAGCAGGGGCTAAGAAGAGGGCTCAGAGGTTAGGAGAGCTTACTGCTTTCCAGAGCTCAGGTGTGGGTCCCAGTGCCGGCATCAGATGGCTCACACTGGCCCACAGCTCTGGTTCCAGGGCATCAATGCCCTCTTCTGGACTTCATTTATGCTGTCTGCACCATACCCAGGTGGCACACACACACACACACACACACACACACACACACACACACAGATGAGGTGCCGTTTGCTGCCTTCAGGTTCAAAGAGCAGGCCTGCCTCCTCCCTGAAATGGATGCTCTTGAGCTCAGTGTGCCTCTCCTGCATTCCTCAGTGTGTGCAGGTGTCAATCTGTCCTCATGCTGTAGCAACTGGGGACAGGGGGGCTGGCTGGCACTCACTATGGAGCTCTATCTGCTGCCACAGCCACGGACAGGACAGGCTGACTCCTCAGCGCACAGCAGGTGAGGCCGGGAGGGCAGGAAAGCACTCCCGGAGCAGGCACAGGCAGGGGGGCGGGAGGGGCGGGAGGGGTGCTGGAGGAAGGGGAAGTGGTGGACTGCAGGGAAGTCAAGGCGGCCCTCATGCTGAGAACACACTCGCTCACAAGACAGACAAGGAAGAAGAGGAACCGCCCGGAGCGTTAAGTCTGGAGAGCTGGGGCTCGGGGTCTACTCTCTGGCATCCCGGTGGATGGTGGGATGGTGAGCCGAAAACAGGCAGGTGGGAAGGGGGTGGTGGGCACAGGGCACTCTCCAGGCCCCAGCCAGACATGGGGTTGTGTTAGAACGGACACTGAGGAGACTGACAGGAACAGTGGGAAACTCTTGGCCAAGTTCCAGACCGGAGCACGAGGAAAAGCTACAGTGAGAGCACAGCTCAGGTGGTAAACTGCTTGTTGACCCTGTGTGAAGCCCTGAGTTCAAGACCCGCCAGCACCTCAGAACCAGACACGGTGGAGCATCCCAGCTGTGGGAGGTGGAGGCGGGAGGATGAGAAGCTCAAGCTCATTTGAAACTACACAGCCATTTAAAGGCTAGCCAGGGCGTGTGGACCTGTCTCAGCAACAAACAAACAGAACCAAAACCAGGGGCTGGAGATGACTCCGTGGCTAAGAGCACACACGGCTCTTGCAGAGGACACCAGGTCAGCACCCTGACAGTGGGTAGCTCACAGCTGCCTGTAGCTCCCAATGCAGGGAGGGCTGAGTCCTCTGGCCTCTGTGAGCATATATACATAATTAAAAACAAACTGCAAAAACAGAAAGTTTAGCATAAATGAATAAGGACACCAAGTTGGGTGGGTTTGGAACAGCAGGGGAGGGGGGGAGTGTGGAGAGTGAGAAAGTCCCAGGAGGAGATAAGTAGATGGAAGGCCATGATCAAAACACAGAGTTTGGAAGTGCCAAAGAATTAATAAAAATTTAAAAAAAAGAAAAGAAAAGAAAAATCAAGAGCTGAAGTGGAACAGAGTCCCGTCCCAGCTAGGAGCTGAGCAGTCCCCGGGACCAGCGGAAAGGGCCAGTGTGAGGAGCTTCAGGTTCTCTGCACCCCTCAGCCTCTCTCTGCAGGGGCAGGTGAGCAAACAGAAAGACCAGGAGAAAACAGAAATAACAGTGGGTTTCCTCAGCTCTGCACAGGTGAAAGCTGCTGGCTCTTCCAGTTCCTACCTCAGTGGATAAAGCAGGTTCCTAAGGTGCCCTAGGAACTTCGACAAGGCCAGTGAGCCCATGCCCCATGCTGCCCCGTGAGTACCAGACGCGTTCTAGGATGGCAGGAAAGCTGAGGCTCTCACAGTTTGCCTGAGCCCACCAAGGAGAGCTGGAGACCTGCTGGCCTCTGAGGCCGCAGACTGTCATCTCTCTGGGCATAAACGACACAGCCCCAGCCATCCCCACTCTGCCCCTGGCTGCAGTCCCCTAGATGTGAGACACAGGCTCTCTTGTGGTCAGCTGGTTTCCAGCCTGGAGCTTCAAGCTCGCTTGCCACAGCATCTAAAGATAGGGTACCTCACAGGAAACCAGATGCTATTGGCTAACTTCGCAAATAAAGATGCCCTCAGAGAGGGGAAACGCTAGCCTCTGGTGGAGTCTGTGTGGGGCTGCGTAGCTGCGAGGCAGAAGTGCCTTCCCGTCTGCCCAGGTAAGTGCAGAAGGCTCCTCCCACACCTGGGCACAGCCATGCCTTATTGATGCTGTTTGTCTGCTGTGCCCATTTCCCTGAGGGTGTGGTCGACAGAGCTCGGGCCTGGAGGTTGTAAGTCTGTGTGATTAGACCCACTTACAAATATTTATTTTTATTTTATGTACATTGGTGCTTTGACTGCATGTATGTCTGTACTGGGGTGTCAGATCCCCTGGGACAATAGTTACAGACAGTTGTGAGCTGCCATGTGGGTGCTGGGAATTGAACCCGGGTCCTCTGGAAGAGCAGCCAGTGCTCTTAACTGCTGAGCCACCTCTCAGGGCCCAGTGATTAGACCTATTGCACACTCCCAACCTGAGGTGTCAGAAATTACATTTTAGAGATTTGGAGAAAGGTTCTTGTTGGACGTTATCAAAAAGGGGGAGCCTGATATAAAACCACATTTAGGTGACAGGAAATGTTGGCGATCTTTAAGCTTACGGTTCATACTGTCAGTCAGACTTTGTGGATCATGCCTCTAATCCCAGCTTTTGAGGAATTGAAGCAGGAGGATTGCTGCAAGTTTGAGACCAGCCTGGGCTATGCAGTAAGCTCCAGGCCAGCCTGGGCTTCTGTGTGATACTGTCTTAAGCAAGCAATGGCTTTTACTCCTCTTTAAAGGAGCTCTTACTTCTGCTCAGAGACCCATCCTTGAGTGTCTATAGATGAAATGAAATACCCTAGTTCAGCCATGGACTAGGAGATGGATGAAATACTAACTGTGAGTTGATGATTCTTGGAACTGGTAGGTACCTGCTGCCTTCCCTGATCTTTTTTTTTTTCCTGTCTTTTTGAGGCAGGGTTTCTCTGTGTAGCCTTGGCTGTCCTGAGATTCACTCTGTAGACCAGGCTGGCCTTGAACTCACAAAGCTCCACCTGGCTCTGCCTCCTGAGAGCTGGGATTAAATGTGTATGCCACACTGCCTGGCTTCTATGTTTTTATATAGGCTGGAGAATATAAAAACGAGGATGTGATGCTGACACCGTAACTCTGTCGGTAAAGTGCTTGGCTGGTGTGCAGGGAGCCCTGGGCCCAGGCCTCAGCACCCAATGACAGTAGACAGGGGGGCACACGCCTGTGGCCGCAGCTCAGGAGGCGGAGGCGGAGGGCAAGGTCATTCTTGGTGCACAGGAATTCTGCCGCCAGCCTGGGCTCTGTGAGACCCAGCAATGACGATGACGAAGATAAATGGTCAAAACGACGTTTGCATTTTACTATAAATACAAACTTGTGTGGAGAAAAACTAAAGATATGCCTAGACCTGCAACACTGGGTCGGTGTAAGGACCCCCTCGCTCCTTCCAGTGCCTCTTTGGTACTGTCTTCAGTTATAATGAACATTTACGGCCTTTAAACTGGGCACAGATTCTTTCCTTGATTTCATAAACGCTCGAAGCCGCCATGGCTTGGACACTCGGTTCCGACATCTGAGCTGCTAGGAAATGTGGTCTTTGAAAGGAAAGTATTAAAACAGGCCAGGAGGAGGTAGGCCCCAGCTTGACACAGACAAACTCCTTTTCAGAGGACCCTGGTGAGGACAGGCTGCAGTTGGCTTTCCCTCGATGGCTGTATATTATCTGGGACACACAGACCCTACGTGCCTGCAGCCTTGCTCTGTGGGGTGATAGCTGAGTCCAGAGAAGGGCTGGGAATTTGAGATTTCTTTCTCCCTCCTTCCCTGGTTCCCTCTCTCCCTCCTTCTGTCCTTCCAAATTCCGTGCCCCCCACCCCCTTTTTGTCCCAACTACTACAATACTTCAGTTAGGAAGAAATTCAATCAAACACTCAGACCATAAACACACACACACACACACACACACACACACACACCCGCTCGGGCACTCAGACCATAAACACACACACACACACACACACACACACACACACACACACACTCGGGCACTCAGACCATAAACACACACACACACACACACACACACACACACACACACACACACACACACACACACACACACACACACACACACACACACACACACACACACACACACACACACACACACACACACACACACACACACACACACACACACACACCCCCGCTCGGGCACCCTGAGCCTACTGAGAGACCAAAGTAGGGCCCGACTGGCTGAGCCTTGGGCATCGTAAGGTCAGCAGGGCAGGGGCAGTGACTGAACTAGGGTAGGGCTTCCCGGACAACAGAAATGGCCGCAAGGAGATCTTCAGTGACTTTTCCCAGAAAGCCGTGAGCAAACTTCCTTCGCCCCAACTAGGGCCCCTGCGGAAGGCGGGAGCAACCCCCGCACCCAAGTCCAGTCTGGCGAACCAGTAAGTCTTTCCGGGTCACTTACCGGAACACGCCCTTGCGTTCTGGAGGCTCACGCCGGTGGGATGCCCACGCCGGTGGGGTGGCCCACGCAGGAGAGCTGCGTTCTTGAAGCCCCCTTACACCAACTGCAGGCAGCAGGAGAAAGCCTCCTCTCCCCAGAGGCGGCCTGCAGCTCTTAGAAGCTTCGGGAGAGGGAGAGCGTAGCTGAGCCTCCCTCCAACAGAAGGCTAGGGCGGCTTCTCTTCCGCTCTCTCCTCCTCCGATTGGCTTTGTTTTTGATCGAGGCACGCTGGAGCAGCAACCTGCCCCAGACCAAATTTAGCCTGACGAATCTGGCCCTCCACACACCCTGTCTCTGGGAAGAAGACCCTGCCCAGTGCTCATCTCTTTAAAACCTACCTCCGCCCTGTCTTCAGCGACCCCATTGCAGAGAGGGGCCCGGAGGGTGGGGCAGACGCTGCTCAGCTTTGGGGCATAGTCGGGGCTCTGCCCTCCACAGCGCTGTGCGTCACTTGATCTTGCGGAGTCAGCTTCCTGCCTTTCCAGTGACAGAGACGGGACCCCGGCGATGGGGCGCTCCGAGAAGGCTAGGCTGTGGAATACAAAGTCCCAAACACGCTGACTGGGCCGTCTTTGGTCTTGTGAAACAATACGGCCAGCAAGGTGGGTAAGGGCACCTGCTGCCAAGTTTGGCTAACCTGGGTTGATCCCTGGGACATGCGTGGTGGAAGGAAAGAACGGACTCCCTCAAGACATACCCTGAACACATACATATAAGTAAATGCATGGTTGTGGCATGTGCAAGAGTGTGCTCACAGACACATAAACAAAAACATAATTTTTACAACAGTATATGTCTGCTGCCTCGGGGAAAGTAAAGCCCCATGACTTTAGGGATCTTAGACTCACTGGCTCCTTTTCAAAGGAGGTTGTTAAGGATCCCAAGAGGTAGGGACAGGAGAAAAGACAGCATGCTAGAGCTGACCCAGTTCAAAACCTCCTCCTTGTTCCTTCCCCTCCCAAGCCAGCCGTGCAAGGGTAGCCATGTCAGGCTTGGGCTTCCCGAACCAGCACCTGGCCTCTGAGAACTTCCTTTCTGTGGCAGAGCAGCCCAGCCCAGCTTCCTACCGGCAGGGGTGAGCTGCAGGGAAAACAGGCTGCCCCAAACAGGCTGGTGAGCAGGGGAGCCAGGGTGATGGCGTCCAGGCCTTAGCTGGCTTTGCTGAGTACCAGTGCCCAGAGGTTTCCAGAGCCTGGGGCTGTTTCTGCCACTCTTGCCTCGTTTCCTGCCAAGAGAAACCAAAGGAAGGCTGAGGTTTCTGCCTGAATCGGGGGTCTGCGTTTCCTCCTGGGGCGCAGAACGTGTGAGCTGCCTGAGGAGTGGAATTTCCCTGACCTCTGAATGGAGAGCGCATTAACCCACTCCATTTGGCCAAATTGTACTTGTTTTGAATTCTTAAGAGAAAAGGGCCTGGACTGCATTTCCTTCAGTGTCTTTCCAGATCGGCACTGTTAACGTAAACCTACAGATGTAGCACGGTGAACTGACAGAACATCGGCCAGGATCATACAGGTCAACGGAGGTCTGGGGTGGTGGCTCAGTCAATCAGGAGCTCCTCCCCGGCTCACAGACCCATGTTCCATCCCAGACACCCCATAACCCCCCACACCTGTGTGTCAGCGTGTGCTTAGCCCAGCACTGAGGAGGCAGAGACACGAGGATGCCTGGGGCTCACAGGCCGTCAGCCCAGACTACCCTGGAACTTCTGGGGCAATGAGAGACCCTGGCTCAAGAAAGAAGGAGGGCTGAGGAACAACACAAGACATGAGTGCACAAGAAGGTGCACCTACACACATGTAAACACAAACCTCCATTCCATGCTCACACGGAGACACACACATACACATACAACATACACACATGAACACACACCACACACCACACACCACATAATGAAGAGAACCTTGCTAGCACCCCCTCAGATTCCTGCCTGACTGCACTCTCCCCTCCACAACACTGGCTTCCAGACTGTTAAGCTCCTTGCTTTTCCCTCGTAGTCTGACCCCAGTCAAAGCGGCCACCCACGGCTTGAGGTGGCCTATGTTCTTCCAGTTAAAACGGAGTGGCCTTACACTCTTTTGTTACATTGAGTTGTCCTGTGTGTGCAAGCATGTGCACCCGTGTGTGTCACGGGGTGTGTGTGGAGGTCATCGCACGGCTCCACCTCTTGGTCCAGCTCTGGGGGCACTCTGCCCCCTACGGCATCCTCGGGCACCACGTGGACAGGAAGACACCCCGGCTTTTATAATGAACTTCTCATCTCACCATCGCTGAGCACAGTGTGCTTCGGTCACATCCCTCCATTACCCTCTCACTCCCGTCTTTGTGAGTTTGTGGGGACCCACTGCATTGAATTAGGGTGCTAGCATGAGTGTGGTGGCCGGGAACATAAGCAAGGACAGCCTGCCAGCAGCTACCCCGAGAGGAGCATGCCCCGCCCCCAGGTTTGCCCTTCACACGTGGCTTCACTTTTAGGCTCGCTTTTTAGTCTGACTTCTTCAGCTTAATACTGAGTTTTCAAGTGCATGTTGCAGCCAGGCATGGTGACTTACGCCTGTACTCCTAGTCCTGGAGTTACCAGTACAC